TATCATTCACATCTAAAAAAAAATTGAAAAAAAAAATCATTAACATATTGGTCTAGAACCTATGCCACCCGCATGAGAGCCGGCTACGCTACCAACTTAGCTATTTGCTCGAGACGTCAACCGTGACTTTTTATACTATACTATGAGTCTTCTTATGCAACATGATTTACGCTCATAGATCTAGATCTAAGTCTAATAGTAGTAGTAGTAACTTTCAAATTAAATTTTATCTTTAATTAGCCAAACAAAGATTTATATAAAATAAAGAAGTTCTGAAATTAGCTAGATCTAGATAGAATTATCTAGATCTAGATTCTACGACTCGCTTGCTTAAGTTTAGTTTTTCTTGCTAGATCTAGATCTAGATCTAGATCTAGATCTAGAGCTAATCATTAGCTACGCTGATAGGCCCGGAGCGAGCATTTTAAAATTACCATATTCCAAACAAAGATTTATATAAAATAATAAAGGTCTAAAATAGTTTAGTATATAGAAAATCATTATTATCTAAATCTAGATAGAATTATCTATATTTTAGATATACGACTGAGCTATATCTAGAGTTTACGTCTATAATTTTGCACACTTAGCGGTATAGAAGCCGCATATGAATCTTAAGCTATGCAAATAGATATAGGCCCTGACTCCAGCATTTCAAAATTTGCATAGGGGCCTAGTCAAAACAAAGATTTATACCAAACAATAAAGGTCTAAAATAGTTTAGTATATAGTAACTCATTATTATCTAAATCTAGATAGAATTATCTATATTCTAGATCTACGACTGGTTTGCTTAAGTCTCGTTTTATTGGATTGTATTTATAACTAATAAATCTTGGATTTGACCTAGATTCTAGATCCAGATCTAGATCTATAAATAACTTTCCTTCGACAGCTGATCTTTAGATCTAGAGAAATTTATTGTAAAACTAAATTAAAAAGACAGATGAAAATTGATATAAGTGTTGGAACGTAATAAATACAGCAAACGGACGTATTGTTTAAGTTATAGCCGGCAGAAAATTAGCTTTGTAACGCGTTAAACTATTGAATGGGCCACAAAGTCTATGATGGAGTCCGCCATTTTTATTGTACCAAAAAGTAAACACATCAAGGGACGTGACTATCCCCACAAAGTTTACTTAATGTTTTAAAATTAAAAAAAAAATGTGGTTAATTTAACTATGAATAAATCAATAAATTAATTAACGTCTTTAAATAAATTTGTGATTAACAGTATGTCTTAAAACAAAAAATTTTCTCTACCTACATACTATTTTACAGCTTTCCACGATGAGTGCAACCATGCGAGATAGTCAATCAGCCAAACAAACAAACAAACAAAAAAATAAATATTCAAACATGTAAACAAACTTGACTTTTAGTAGTATACTAGAATACCCGTCATCCGTTGGATAACTGTGGGTTTCGGGGGTCATCCATCAAAAAACATCACGTCTGTCACTCAGAGGCATAGCGACCCTTCCCGGCGCCCGGGGACAAACTTTTCGATTTTAACCCCCCCCCCCCAAGATTTCGATTTTCAACCCCCCCCCCCTCAAACTTTTGATGTGCACCCCCCCCCCCCCACTCAAACTTTCGATTTGAACCCCCCTCAACCTTTCAATTTATTTCTCCAAACCATTTTGGCGCCCCAACATATGTCCCCCCGCCCCCACCCTTCCCCCCTCCACCTCCCCCAGCCTCCCCTTTCCCCCCCCCACCTCCCCTTCACCCCCCCGCCTCCCCTCCCCTCCCGCCCCCCACCCTCCTCGCTACGCTACTGCAGTGTCATTTATCGTCACAAAAAACAGACCCCACATTCAAAAATATGTTTTTTTATCTTTTAAAAACACCGAAAACAACGATTTCGGACTATCCCTTCATATACTGACGTCACAGGTGACCTACTCAACTCTACTTCACCTGCCCAGTGTCCCGCCAAGTCTCAGACAACAAAAACGATTCCAGCCGAGCATGTCTCTGACCACACTATCCCTTCATTTGCTTAGGACAAAGAAACAGATGAACCCTACTTCACCTGCCCTGTGCCCCGCGAGGTCCTGATAGTCAACCTTATCATTCACATATAGGGCTTAAGAAAAAATAATTGAAAACGTAAAAAAAAAAAAGTTCTATTAATGTTTAAGACACTGACTTTAAAATTTAGCCTTCATTCTCTAAAGCAAATTTTAAAATGCTTTTCTGGCATATCTAGCCCTGGCCACCTATACCATGTTTAAATAATGTGAACACCCGCCATTTTGCTCGTGGTAAACATGGCCTAAAAATGGTCGGAAGTCATGCGTCCGGTCCGTACGCCATATTGTTGTTAGCACCCGACCACGCCTCCAAGTTAGTGAGTAATCCTACTATATCTAGATATAGAACCTAGATAACAAAAAAATCCCATGTATTCTCGAATTAGATGATCATTGAAGCTAAACAAAGATTTAGATAAAATAATTAAGGCCCGAAATAGATTCTAGATGTAGAATTTACATTAAGTCTAGATCTAGAATTTACATTGAGTCTAGTGACCTAGATCTAGGCTAGATCTAGGCTAGATTCATAACTTTTAATAACTTTCCTTCGACAGCTGATCTTTAGATCTAGAGAAATTTATTGTAAAACTAAATGAAAAAAGACAGTTTAAAATTGATATAAGTGTTGGAACGTAATAAATACAGCAAACGGACGTATTGTTAAAGTTATGACCGACAGAAAATTAGATTTAGAACGCGTTAAACTTTTGAATGGGAACACAATTTTCTTCGATAGACGCCGCCATTTTATTGTACTAAAGAGTAAAAAAAAACCTGTGACGTCACTATTCCCACAAAGTTTAGTCAATGTTTTAACATTTAAAAAAAAAATGGGTTACTCTACGTATGAATAAATCAATAAATTAGTTAACGTCTTTAAATAAATTTGTGATTAACAGTCTGTCTTAAAACAAAAAATTTTCTCTACCTACATACTATTTTACAGCTTTCCACGATGAGTGCAACCATGAGCAATAGTCAATCAAGCAAACAAACAAACAAATAAATATTCAAACATGTAAACAAACTTGACTTTTAGTAGTATATAGATATTTACAACTGTGCGTACTGTTTGTAGTCGCAAGTATGTTCGACTTAAGTTGATGAAAATGACATATATCTTGATACATCATTGTACTCATCATTTAATGTATTATACGTAGAATCTTGGCTGTTGTTTTCTGTATTTTTTCCGACCATATGATCATCGATGTTGTTGTATATTGTTCGCTTTTCTGAAATTTCAAAACACAACGTTACTTGCTCATATAATGTGTAAATATAAACATGCTTATAGTAAATAGATTAACGCTGTAGTTTCTTTCTAAAAATATGCAACACAGTTGGTATCAATTTGATATAGTCATTATATAGAAAAAACTAACGTTTTATCAATTACCTGGCTCTGAATTAGCTGACAAATGTGTATGTTGTAATTCGACAGGCTGGTCATATACATCGTTTCTATGTTTACTCTCTTCACTTTTATCTCCTTTATATTTGCGGATCACACAAGCAACAGCCGTGACGATCAGAACGATGATGCACATGACGCCAATGCCAATACCCACACCGTGTCCTAATCCTTTGTTGTATCCATCGTTATATCCATTGACATTTTCTAAAAATGTGACAAAATGTAAATAACCAAATTAACTTATATATAATAAGTGTATGTTTGTATGTGTGTATGTTACAAAAAAGAAAGCAAATAAATATGTGTTGCATTATTGCACTACAACAATAAAGCAATAACTATGAGAGTAGTTTTAAGGTTGAATGCACTATTGAGTTGTTGTTGGTAATGGCTTATTCTTTATTTTTTTTAAAATAATGTGTTAAAGAACATCGTGTGTCTGCTATACGCTGAAGATGTAGTTGATTGTGTGATGATGTTTTAAACTTATTTATATCATATTATATACAGAAACTCCAGTTCAAAAGCTTTATAACAAATACATAGCAATAATATTGATTTAATCAATGAACTAAATCATTTACTTTTGAGTTTACAATAATCCTCAACTTATCGTCTTAGATATAAAATGTGCATATTTACCTTTTTCACAAAATTCGCCAGTATCTTTACATCTCAAACAGTGTCCGTTAACAGCGTCACATTTTGAATCAAGACACAGTGAAGAGCATTTGTTTAAACATCTGGGACCATAATTGCCTGCATTGCAGTCTAGTGGAAAATATGTTATTGTCAGTCATACTAGCATTTGGGTCAGCCAGAAGCTAGCAAGTGGGGCAGCTATAAGCTAGAGTGTGGGTGGGGCAGCTACCAGCTAGCGTGTGGGTGTGGCAGCTACAAGCTAGCATGTGGGGCAGCTACAAGCTAGCATGTGGGGCAGCTACAAGCTAGCATTTGGGGCAGCTATAAGCTAGCGTGTGGGTGTGGCAGCTACAAGCTAGAATGTGGGGCAGCTACAAGCTAGAATGTGGGTCAGCTAGAAGCTAGCATTGGGGCAGCTACAAGCTAGCGTGTGGGTGTGGCAGCTACAAGCTAGCATTTGGGGAAGCTAGAAGCTAGCATTTGGGACAGCTACAAAGTAGAACTTGGAGCCTCAAAATTAGTTATTCTAGAGAGCATGTTCACTGGATTGTTTCCTTTTTTTAACTTTTCAAGTGAATTTCTTATGTAAATATCCCATACCTGTATTACAAAATTCCCCTAGCTTTCCGGCGATGCAGTCCAGACAAGAGCCGTTAACGTTGTTGCATAACTGATCTGTACAGTTGATGCTACATTTACTTGCACAGTGCATTCCATAATGTGTTTCGTTGCAGCCTGTTAGATATTTAAATCGTTTGTTTTTAATTTTACTTCACAAATGTTACATGGTATGAGTATATGCTACTGTCTTACTCTACCACTGTGCTGAGTTGTGATGTTGTAGCAATATCTGTACGGTAGACTACTTACCGGAAAATCTAAAGTTGAAATCTCGAGGTTAAGTCTGTAAGACTTCCCTGAGTCCACCCAGCTCTGATGGGTACCTGACTCATGCTAGTGAAACAAAGGCGACAGATCATAGTTCTGACCAAACAATCCCTTTGTATGCCGAGGTAATTCAAACATATGAACTCTATCTCATCTGCCCTACGTGTCGGGAGCGCGAACGAGAAATGATGATGACATCTCTATACATTTTAATTTTCAACGTTTGAATTTAAACATGTGTATGAATTCAAAACCAAAAGTAGAATAATGTAACATTTAGTTGTACAATTATATGTTCACCGAACATAATACCACTTATAGGTTTATACCACTTACTTTCTTCACAAAATGTCCCTTGCCTCCCATCAACACAACTTTTACAAGCACCATTCACATCGTCACACAGACTGTCTAGACAGTTGGGACTACATTTCTGTGAGCAGTTGGTTCCATAGTACGTGGCGTTACAGTCTGGTGTGGGGGGGGAGAGGGGAAGCAATACACATAATAATCACAGCAAACTTGCACGATACTATATATGAACATTTACTGAACTACCTAAATATACCAATATAGTTGATGGTAAAGGAAGTATTTATAAATGGTTAAAAATTGATATGTAAAAGGTCTTATAAAAAAAAAACCTGGCTTTCCAGGTATACAGTTGTGACAAAAGCCATTGACGTTGTCTCAAAAATTAAAAACACAGTTGGTTTTGCATATATTTGTAGTTTTGTAAGTAATATGTAAGGTTACATTGTGTTAAAAATGATTTCATTAAATACATTTAGTAAAATAAGCTAATCAAATCATCTATTTATAAACTGATAATATCATTACTATTTTATCCATACTCACGCTGATTACAAAAATGTCTTTGAAGTCCATTATTACATTGCTGGGAGTAACTAGTTACAGATTATTTACATAAATGAAAAACCCATTGAAAGTTCTACATTTGTGCAACTTACTTTGTTCACAAAATGTCCCCTGTTTGCCATCAACACAACTTTTACAAGCACCATTCACATTGTCACACAGACTGTCTAGACAGTTGGGACTACATCTCTGTGAGCAGTTGGTTCCATAGTACGTGGCGTTACATTCTGTTGTTTCGTTTTATATGAAGAAAATTGATATATGCTAACGCAACGACGAAAAAAAAAAAAAGAAATAATGTATATATAGTAATTGCAAGGTAAATTAATCTACCAACAGAGTAGTTACATTGGTAAACACTAAGAACATTCTTCATATAGTCTATACCACTTACTTTGTTCACAAAACATCCCCTGTTTGCCATCAACACAACTTTTACAAGCACCATTCACATTGTCACACAGACTGTTAGTACAGTTGTGACTACATCTCTGTAAGCAGTTGACTCCATAGTACGTAACGTTACAGTCTAGTGAGTGGCGAAGAAATTCTCACAATAAACACAGCGAAATTACACCATTCTGTACATAAGCTGCTACAGACTTATCGACATAAAAAATAATACAGTTGATGATAAAGGGCTACAACTACATGCCACGATTGCACAAACAATTTATGCATTGTAAGAATTTGTAAGAAAAAGGTCTTATAGAGTGGGTTTAGGTAAAATGTGGCATACCTTTATCACAAAATACACCTTGCTTTCCATGTATACAGTTGTGACAAAAACCGTTGACGTTTTCGCAAAGTTGATGTAAACAGTTGGTGCTACATTTTTGTAAACAGTTTTGTCCGTAATATGTAAGGTTACATTCTGTTGACGAAAATTAATTGATTTAATAAAAGTAATTAAGCAAATAATCTTTTTAGAACTAATAATATCATTACTAGTTCACCCATACTTACTCTGATTGCAAAAATGTCCTTGAAGTCCCACAATACATTGCTGGCAGTAACCAGTTGTACTGTTGCAGACGCCATTGGTGCAATTTGTTGAGCATTCGTTGTCGCAGTTTAAATATAAACAAAAAATAATAGAAATAAAGCGAGAGTGATGTCACGTAAACTTTTTCGAATATTCTTAAATACTACTTATGTGGATGGTAACTCCATTGCAATACGGATATAGAAATGTTTTATTTTAATCAATTTTTAAACGCTTGCGGCAAGATATAAAAATATTATAATATAATTCGTTTCAACGCATGTAATCTAGACAACTCTAGACAAAACCACGAATAATATGAATCTAATAACACTATAGTGCTGTCTAGCCTCCTTGTCACGTATACCAGTCCAAGATTTGAATAACGTTTGTACTGAACAACTTCGACTAGAGGTGACTTACTTCGAACACACGTGTATTACGTGGCTTTAATAATTGAACATTTTTTAAAGGACAACACCATACAGTGTACAGCATACAATAATACTCGCACCACAATGTGGCGTTTCCTTTATATTTTCAAACCTGTCGATTTGTTAACTAAATATTATTCTTTTGAATATATTTGTATTCTTTTTTAACTTTTGTTTATAAGCGATATTTCTTTTCGAGTGGACCGACAGCCTTAATTTGTCAATCCATAATAAAGCTAAATTATTATAAAACTACATGGGGACAAACCATATATAGACAAATCACAAGAGGTCAAAGTACCTTATCCGCGTATAACTGCGTCGTATTTTGGAACAGTATACATACGCTGTAAACACCCCTCCCCTTGATAGCCAGCAGCACAACCAGACTGACATCCACCTGTAGCTACAAAACATGTCTCAGTTGGGTCGTTACAGTTGCAGGTCTTGGTACATTCTAGGCCGTAATTTCTTGTGTTGCACACGTTATCTGCAGAAATAAACGTTGATTTCTGCCTATAAACGTATAAAAAGTATATACATCTGTATAAAATGTACTTTTTTACAAAAATTGTCGTTATGAAGTTAATACTCACCACCGTATATCTCGACCTCACATAGAGTTAGAATATCTACTACAGATATATTAACATAAGACACTGGACCGTGCAAGATTGATGATATTGTGTAGATTGGTACATTGTCGTTAGAACTTGTATCTCTGTACTCAAACAGCTTTAAAGCAGTGTAATCGAAACTGTTCAATACGAATCCTTTTAGTCGTAGACGGTCTTTGTCTGAAATGTAAATAAGTGATCTGCAGATTTTTTATTTAAAATTATTTTCAATTGAAAAGCTGTTTCTAAAATATCTTACACTTTGTAAAATACTGGTTTAAAAGAAAGTGTTTTGTTTTTAGCACTCTATGAATGATTTTTGCTTTGTAATTTAAAGTGTTAACGTTGCTGATGAACTAAAATATACTAGTGGAGTTTTTACTGATAGCTATAGGATAACCATCTCGAAAAAGATGAATTTTAAATGGAATAATCTTGTTTAATATTTTGATTAATATATAGAGGCTATCGATCACTGCATATGTAGTTAAGCTTAAACACTATATGATTTTTATTGTGAAAGATCAATGTTAATATGTTATCAAATATTTAATTATGAACTATTACCTTTGTTATAAAGCAGGTATCGGTTGACACTTTTTGTACTTGAAAATGTAACTCTCCATGAGCCTGGCCGGTTTACTGCTGTATGTGTACAAGTGTTGTGTGAAAAGTTCCCACTTGTGTTACCATCCACAGCCAGAAACGAGTAGCGCACTACACCATCTTCAGTATAATCACTTGACTGGCTGGTGTTTTGTTTTAGAGCAACATTTCTACCTGTAAAATGATTTAGTACAATACTTGAATAATTTTCTTACTTATCCAAATAAGATATTACTTTGTAAAATAGACACATTTTTTATCTTTCAGCATGTATTAAGCACTTAAAACATCTAAAACATTTTAAAATAAAATGAACTACAGAGTAGCATTTAAGTTAATATTAGAATATAATATCGTATAGTATTTGCAGCATAAAACGAAAAGAAATTACAGATAATATTTTTAAGTTCGATGACCTAATGAAACTATTGTAAGCGTTTTGTTTTATTTAAGTGAAACAAACAACCAACAACATATGAGTTCAAAGCATTGTGCGTAGAATGAAAATGCAATGATTATAATAAAATCTACAATAAAAAATAACATGCTTCGATATAAATGTGAAATGCACGTTTTTCGTGTTATGTCTTTTCAAAATACCTTTTACAAAAACGATATTTTAACATTTAAGTTGTAAAACAAAATAAAATAACCAAACAAGTATTACCTCCACTAATGTAAACAGAACAAAGTGCTACCGTTGATCCGAAGTGTAGACTCACATGTGTGGCAGTGACATCTGTCTGACAGAGGATGTCAGTGACTCTGTCAGTAACTTTGATCAGATATGTAGTTGGGGTGACCGTTTTATTTAAAGTCAGCTGAATGCTCAGTAATGAATCTGAAGGAGGGTGTTTTAGCGTTAGACTTTTGTAGCACAAACAAATCTGAACCATTTGCAAAAATTAGAAATACAATATCAAATAATTATGATCTCTTATGATTCAACTGTCTGGTTAGAGTGATCCAACTGTCGGGGTAGAGTGATCCAACTGTCTGGGTAGTGCAAACCCAAGAATCGGGTAGAAAACACGTGACTAATATAATCCAAACGGTAAAGATATAAATATATTATAATGTCAAGATGCTAATGTCAGAATGCACTGCGTAGCGCTTGACTTACTTGACTGTTGTGTGACTATTCTGAACCACGTAACCTGGTAATTTATTAGCCAAGTCAGGCTAAATGATAAAACACTCGAACATGTGGCATCGTCTCCATCTGTTAGGGTGGCGTGTAATGTAGTTGCATTCAATTGTGCTAAATCCTCTGGAAACAGAACGTATCATGTAATTGGCCAATGTAGTATGTATTACCCGTTTAAATATGATAGATTATTGTTTATAAAACAGTAAAATTCGCTGAAATGATGTAGGCATACTCACGATATTGACATAGAGGACCAAACCATCCCCTAACACATGTAGACCCTCCTGTACACTTTCCGTCAACATCACATTGGTTGTTGGCACAGTGACATTTGTACTGACAGCTGGAGCCGAACCAGCCAGCGCTACATGATGCTAAACTAACTACAAATAGTCAGATCTCATGTTGCAGGGATATTATTTTTACTAATCATATTAAGTGCTATTGAAAAATATATTATAATAAATTTTGCAAATGAGTTGTTTTAAATTAGATGGGAAAAACGTATTTCTATATATGCTTTATTGCATCAATCTACTAAAATAATTATATCAATGTTCAAGATTCACTTTAACATGTTTGGAATAATTTTCACTTTTTCTTACATTCTTAGGTCCGTCAAAAAATTAAGTCGCATACCTGTATCCACTGGTACTTCACTGATAATGAAGATGAAACAAAGCAATATCTGTAGTGCCATTAAGTAGATGTATTGTGTTGTAAACAAGACTGTATCTATATATTCTATTGTGAGGCGTAAGCGCACAGTAGCTTAAGTTACACATACGCTGTTCGAGTAACCTATCCCAGTTGTATTTATAGCCTCTCTGCAGTTAGTCCCTAAAGACAAAAATGATTGTTAACAAAAGCGACATAGCAGATAGCCACCAAATGAAATATGGTCTATCCCATTTTATCATAGCGTGGCCACTTTGACGGTAGATAACGTAGTAAATGTGGACTACAGTTCTTATTGTATGCTGGTTCTATATAGAGTAATATGACTCTCTTATCACTTGGGTATTTATGATATAAATCAGGAAGTGAAATTACGAGTTTGTGTGTTGTTAAGAATGTTATCTTGGTACATCTTATGTATCGAAACTAAAAACTTAAAATCATTACCTATAGTTAGACAAATATGACGGCGTAAATGACAAGTTTAATTTCAGCAAAGTAAAAGATTAAGCATACAGCATATGCCAATATACTCTCACCTATTTATAAAAAAATGATGAAACGACCACAACCGTATTAGTTATTTAATACTCAGTCAATTTCGAGTCAAAGCATGTATTTTAAAAAATATTATATTGTAAACAATTGTTGAAGGTCCCTTTTTCGGACTTAATGATCCATGGGGTAGATGAAGTAAAGTTATTGACCTCAGCCGATGAAGTATGGTGTGAAGGTAGTAGATTATTTTAAGGTATACTTTGAAACGCATTACAGTATTATGTATAATTGATAAGTACTTCAAATTACGTTGGACGTCTTACAGATAGATTCTTAAATAATAGACGCGTAAAACCATTCAACAAATGCTAATATAGTGTAACTTCCTATGTTCCAATACATAGTTTGAGCTTATGATAACAGGTTTGCAACGTCCGATTTTTTTGAGACTTCGTAAGGTCCTGCCCACCTTAGCTCTAGTTTGTTCAATAGTTGGGGCTTCAATATCAGCACATGATCCCCTACTTATATATCTTTGGTTGTGGCTAATCTATCATAGTAGCTCTTTGCTTTATCTTTCCCATCTTCTGATTTGCTGGATGCGTACCTGCATGCCGTTTGCAACTGCTGTTTAAGGTCCAGCAGGTAGTCATATACAGCTCTTGTCTTATATTCCCTCACTTCTCCTGTGAGGATATCCTTTAGGATGCTCATCGGGCCCCTCACTTTCCTGCCGAACATAAGTTCGAATGGCGGGTAACCAGTGCTTTCGTTTGGAACTTCTCTGTAGGCGAAAAGTGCTGCTGGGATGAACACGTCCCAATCATCATCCTTGTCTATAGCTACTTTCTTTAGCATTTCCATTCCATCGTTCTACCGCCCCGTTGGCCATGGCGTGATATGCAGAAGCGTAAACGATTTTAATCCCCAACATTTTAGACACGGTACAGAAAATTTCCGACGTGAACTGGGTCCCGTTATCTGAGAGTATGACTTCCGGGAATCCCATCCTTGTGAAGATGGAGAGTAGCGCATCTTGAATCTCTGCGGCCGTTTCACTTTTCAGCGGTACGGCTTCTGGCCACCGTGTACATATGTCTACGGCTGTGAGTATGAATCTGTTCTTTTTTTTCGTTTGAGTTAGTGATCCCACAATATCTATGGCGAGTTTCTCAAACAGTTGTCCCACTACCTCAGTTCTACCCAGAGGCGCCTTGCCACCAACATTCTTTTTGCTTTTCTGGCAGACATCACAACTTTCGCAGTAACGTTTGAGATCCTCCCATGCCCCTGGCCAGCTAAATTGTGACAGAATTCTGGCTTTCGTTCTCGCTACACCCATGTGCTCCGCCATAGGTGTGTCGTGTCCTAGATTCATGATGGTGGGCCTAAGTCCCCTTGGGATTGCTAGTCTAATCTGATCTTCTGTTTTGCTATGTTTTATGATCTTATATAATAACCCATCTATTGTTTGACATTGCTTGCCCTTTTCCGCGAGCTTCCACCACCTAGCCAATTTTTTGTCTTCGCTCTGTTGCGTTTTAAAATCTTTCGGTGTCGTTATTTGGTCTAGAATCTTATGCCCCGGCTCATTTCTCTGGTTGCCCCCTGCTCTAAGTTGTCCTCTGGTTTTTACCGCGGCTAATGTTAGCGAATCTTCCCTCGGTAGTTTCGCAGCTGCTACATTCCCTATTATACGTTTAGCTGGTGGATCATCTAAAAGGACGGCAAAGAACTCTCCCGTAAGGTATGGTGTTTCTATGTTGACTACAGCTCCTGGTACTCTTTTCTTATCTCCATCCGCAGTCTTTATGGTTATCCATTTTTTTGTCCATCTATTTCTTGAGACTAAAGCTTTTCTACAAGCTACGACTACAGAGCCCGTATCCCGTAGGACGGTCACCGTCCTCCCATCCAGTTTTCCTGCAACTATAGGAAGTGACCCTCTGTCGCTTATGAATCTCCGATTAGCTCCTATGTTCCCTACAGGGACAGCGCCCTTTACTTGACTTAGGCATTGTCCACAGTCGCCGCACTCCCCGCTGAACTCTGGGACTAGTCATATATCTTGAATGTCCCTGAAGCCTACCCTTCTCCCTCTGTACTCATGTCCAATTTGTCTACGATTGGACGAGCAGCCCGCCGCTATGTGCCCCTCAGCCCCACAGTTAAAGCATGCGATTGGGCTTCTTCTAGGACTATTATTACTACTCGGCCTAGGTTGGACCGGGCTTTGTCTTCTTCGATCCTGTTGAAGGGTGACTTCATTTCTTGTGCACCATACCTCTCTAATGGGGCTCTTAGCTCTAGGTCTTAGGGTTCGCTTGTCCCTGTCCTCTCTAAAGGGATTCCTAGAGCCTCATGTAAGTGCCATTGTGGCAACAAATGTGTCCTCTGCCACGTCGATCGGTTTTAATTTTCTGTCTGGGTAGATGTCAAAGTAGTTGTCACAAGCATTTTCTACGTCTGTTATTGTCTTCGGGTTTTGCCTGAGGACGTGCTGTCTTACGTCTTGTCCGACTGTTCTCACTATTTTTGTCTTTTAAGAGTAGGTCAAATAGTCCGTCAAATGTTTTGTCACACTTGCTAGCTTCGACCCATCTTCTCAAGTAGTGTCGCACCCTCCTAATGTAACTCCCTGCTCTATCATGTTCTGATTGTTGGGCGCTATTAAACTTCTCACTGTATCCTTGCTCCGTCAGACCAAAGTGTTTTAGGACCTCCATTTTCAGCTTCCCATAATTCTCTTCGGCTCCCAATTCTGATAACCACGATTCGCAGCCTATATCTAGCAGAACTTTTCTAAACTCGTGGCACCAAAACGTATCTTCTAAACCTATTTCTCGGGCTTCCCTTTCAAAAATGTCAACCACCACCTCCATATCTGTTTGGTCCCTACTGTTTCTCTTTCCTGTCAGCTTAATTCTTGGGGTCTGTGCCCTAACCCTGCTCTTTATGTCTTTCTCCCTTGCTATTTCCAGCTCCTTCAATTTTAGTCTTTCTTCTGATTCGATTTTAGACCTAGTTAGCACCCTGTCTGCAGCCCTCTCGTCTCTTTCAACCTGCTGCCTAGCCTTAGACTCCGCCTCTAACAATTTACACTCGGCCCCTTCCAACAGCTCCTTTCCCTCTAGTTTACATCTTTCCCCTAACGCTGTAAAATGCTCTAGTGTTAAGCCTTCGCTAGCCATCTCACCTTATCCACTTAGGATTGGATGCCAAAATTGCAATACCCAATACAATGTTAGGCAAAGTGTAATCCCGGTTGCGGGTACCGTGCCAAAGACTAACGCAAAAACACTTACCTCAATAAGTACAAATCTGTTGTAGTAGTCCCTTCCCCTACTTTAGCCCTTCGAAAACAATGGTAAATCCTGTAGTGGCCGAAAAAAAAGTCCTGTGATCGCAAGGTTCTGTGCTGGTAACGTCCTGATGGCGAATTTCTGTTCCGGTAAGGTCTCAGGATGGTATAGTCCAGTGATGGTGACTTTCTGTTCTGGTAAAGTCCAAGGATGGTATTGTCCAGTGATGGTGATTTTCTGTTCTGGCAAAGTCCCAGGATGGTGGTGAAGAACAATAGGTAGTTGGTGGTGGTGTATAACTATGGCCTGTTTGTGCCCTCACACAGGTGGGTTGGTGGTGCCCTCACACAAATGGGTTGGTAGTGCCCTCACACAAATGGGTTGGTGGTGCCCTCAAACAGTAGGTTGGTGGTGCCCTCACACAAATGGGTTGGTGGTGCCCTCACACAAATGGGTTGGTGGTGCCTTCACACAGTAGGTTGGTTGAGCCCACACACAGTAGGTTGGTGGTGCCCTCACACAGTAGAGTAGGTTGGTGGTACCCTCCCACAGTAGATTGGTGGTGCCCTCACACAGTAGGTTGGTGGTGCCCTCACAGTAGGTTGGTGGTGCCCTCACACAGTAGGTTGGTGGTGCCCACACAGTAGGTTGGTGGTGCCCTCACACAGTAGGTTTGTGGTACCCTCACACACAGTAGGTTGGTGGTGCCCTCACACAGTAGAGTAGGTTGGTGGTACCCTCCCACAGTAGATTGGTGGTGCCCTCACACAGTAGGTTGGTGGTGCCCTCACAGTAGGTTGGTGGTGCCCTCACACAGTAGAGTAGGTTGGTGGTACCCTCCCACAGTAGATTGGTGGTGCCCCCACACAGTAGGTTGGTGGTGCCCTCACAGTAGGTTGGTGGTACCCTCCCACAGTAGATTGGTGGTGCCCTCACACAGTAGGTTGGTGGTGCCCTCACAGTAGGTTGGTGGTGCCCTCACACAGTAGGTTGGTGGTGCCCTCACAGTAGGTTGGTGGTGCCCTCACAGTAGGTTGGTGGTACCCTCCCACAGTAGATTGGTGGTGCCCCCACACAGTAGGTTGGTGGTGCCCTCACAGTAGGTTGGTGGTGCCCTCACACAGTAGAGTAGGTTGGTGGTACCCTCCCACAGTAGAATAGATTGGTGCCCTCAGACAGTAGGTTGGTTGTGCCCTCACACAGTCGAATAGATTGCTGCCCT